GGGAGTCATCTAAGGGGAGATAATGTAAAGTGAGAGTTTGTGAAAGGAAGGGGCTGTTGAGTAAAATATTTCAGTCGTCGGGGAACAATATGGGAAAGGTAGTGGCGGGGTTTGCTTTTATGATAAAGATCCTGAAAGGTGAGCATCGATAAAAAAATAAATAAATAAATAAATAAAACAAACAAAAAAAAAAAACAATAGAAATTCCCTAAATGAAAACTTTGTTATCATTTACTCTAAGCAAAGATAACCTTTATTCAAAAATGAAATATTAAAATAATCCAATAATAATTTTTTAAAAAAAGAAGCAAAAATTAAAGAAAAAAATATAATAATACAAACAATAAAACAAAAACTATAAAAGCAAAAAAAAATAAATAAATAAATAAATAAATAAACGATTTTGTCTTCGTTTCTAAAATGCCATTTTTGTAGCTGAGAGATTGACTGATTTGTTTTTTTACAGTTTATCAACACTTTGTTGCTTATTTAAAACGGAAACCATTTTTAGGATTATCAGCATAATTATTTTTGTTTTTACATTAACAATTTTTTATTAGAATAACAATTAATTTTTCTAGATAAATGTTCTACTATTTAACCCATAATTGGAGTGAGATGAATTGATTCATAAATGTCCCAACGGTAGGTAAGTCAATGTAACGAACCCAATTGGAATTCGAACTCGGCTTTCCGATTTCTTATTCCACGCTGCTGTAGCTGAGGAAGAGTCTCCGAAGTTGTTTATCACCTCAAAATGACTAAAATGGATTTCCGCCATGTCAGCAATTGCTGAGGTATAAATACCATGACTAGATTGACGTCTTGCCAAAGAGTTCTGCTTCATAAACCCCTTTTTTCCGAAAGGCCCAAGACCTTGAATTGCTCAGATTTTCACCAGTCGTTTATTATTGCTTGTAACTAACAGGGTCACCAATTTAAGGTAACTTTTACTCTGAGCCTTACAGTGAAAATTTCCTATTTCATGTATTTCTGTTCTGTTTACCAAAAAAAGCTGACATTACATTACTGCATTCGGGGTCAAAATATTATGAAAGTATAAATAGATTTTAATATTAAAAACACCAGCAATATATTTAAAAAAAAATTAATACATATTCTATTGATACGAACCTATCCTAAAAATCTTGTCACCATTAAATAACTCCTGAGTTTAACAAAAAAAAAAAAAAAATTCCGTAAACTATCGGGATAGTAATCATCACCAGATTTGATGTAAGCAAGGGAAAAAAATCTCTACTCCAACACAGCCAAGTGAAACTAATCTGAAAATATCTGATACCTCATTAATCAGTTTATGAAGAATATACTCGATAAAATTTGAAAGAATGTTGAATTTATTGCTTATCTGGCTTTTCTTACACCAGTTTGATCGATCCATTCTATGGCTTTCTCTGCCTGTAAAATCTGTAAGGTTAGAGAATTTTACATAAAATTGTTACCAATATGTTGACCAGAACAACTCAGTTGATTACTAAACTATACGGCAGTGAAGGCTGGACAATTCTATTGAAAATAAAGAGGCTTATGCCCACATCTCATTAAAGCACCGGCTCCCGTACGAAGTTAAGCAAAATCGTGCCTGGACAGTACCAAAATGGGCGACCGTTTAGGAATACAAGGTGCTGTTAATGTAATGGATTACGGCTCGGAATTGTTAATCGGAGGGTCGAGTTTCAATTCCAGTTGGGTCCGTTTAATTCACTTTCACGCAAATAGCCCTGGGAAAGAAATGAATCCATCACTTCTCTCCCCAACTATGGATTAATTAGTAAGACTTCTATCACTAAACCATTTCTATCTAAATAAATCTTACAATCTAAATATATTGGGTGGCTTTAAATAACCTGCAAATGGTTGATAAACCGTAAAAAACGAATCCATCCATAAAAAAAAACCTACAGATGAAGAGGAGGCTTGAGACAACAGAGATATGTTTCTACAGAAGGATGCTGAGAATACCATGGAAGGAACATGTGATCAATATGGAGGTTATAAGAATAAATAGAAAAAGAATAGAGTAGCAGAAAATATTAAACCTTACGGGCAGGTGGTTAGGATGTTTGCATTCCGATCATGAAAGCTGGATTCAAATCTCACCAGGGCCAAGGTGGTGATAAAATCGTCTTTCTTGCTCGATTCGTCATAACCATTTAAATAGCAACCCTCTAGCTTGAGTGGCTCTCGAGTCATGTGTCGGATGAACTATAGTATGAAAATCACCACAGGATAGCCAGGTGAAGGAAAACGAATGTGCCTTAGAAGACATCTGCAGCAGGGATTTGCTAGAAGTGAATACTCGTGAACGAGCAGTCAAGCATCCTCCACCTCCTCCTCTTTCTCCTTCTCTTCCTTCTCCTCTTCCTTCTTCTTCCTCCTCCTCCTTCTTTTTCTTTTTCGTGTTCTTCCTCCTCCTCCCTCTTCTTCTTCTTTCTTCTTATCCCTCCTCTTCTTCTTCTTTTTCTTCTTCTTTTTCGTCTCCTTCTTCTTCTTCTTCTTCGTCGTCGTCTTCTTATTCTTGTTCTTGTTCTTCTTCTTGTTCTTCTTCTTCTTCTTCGTCGTCGTCGTCGTATTCTTGTTGTTGTTCTATTTCGTCTTCTTCTTCTTCTTCTTCTTCTTCTTCTTCTTCTTCCCTCCCTCCCTCCTCCTCTTCTTTTTCTTCTTCGTCGTTTTCTTATTCTTGTTGTTGATGTTGTTGTTCTTCTTTCTCCTATTCTTCTTCTCCTCTTCT